GCATCGAGTCCAAGCTGGAAACTTTCAGTTAACGCACTGCTCGCAGAGAATTGCTTTTAGGTCGAAGATTACATTTAACAACCTTTCAGAATTTTTGTCCGGATCTCTTGGGGACGTAAGTGTAACGTGCCGGTACGAATTTTCAATTTATCCGGAAATTGCACCGTGCACCGTCTCTATCCCTCGAGAAAAGTGGCTACACCGAATCGAAGATCCAATATAACATTCGGAACAAGCATGTCTTCTTAGCAATATAATACCTGAAAATCGTAGCAGAGATAAACGCAATTTAGTTGCATTCGCCATAATTTTTTATAATGTTGTATGATTGCTATACTTTGTTCAATTCAAAGAATAAGATAATATTTTATTCTACGTGGCTTTCTACTTGTAAATTTCCTCTCTCGATTAATACTATGCAGAGATAAAAAGCCTGACGAAACAGTAGAGGGATAAAGAACATAATTTTCCCTTTTGACCCACTAACAATTTGGCGTTGTTTGTCTATATATGAATCGCTCACTTGCCAAATTGATTAACTCTACTTTTTGAATTTATTAAAATTTTAGTGTCAAAACAACTGACTGACTCTTAACTCTTTTATATTCAAAATAAATTTCTTTAATTTAACTATCTAGATTTAATATCACAAATGACCATGTTTTTTTTTTTGGTCTGTGAATAATAAATAATTTACTTCAGAAGATTTAATTAACTTTATGGTTTAATGGATCGTTGCAATAATTCAGTTCAAACGTTTGTAAGAATTTAATTAGTTAAGTAATTTTTTAATACAATAGTATATATATTAGATATTAACGGCAAACTGTTGTCTTGTCATAGAAAAATGAAATTTCAAACAAAGTATGTTATCCTATCACGAATTGATTAGTATAATTTAGGTAAAATGCATCGGATAAAATTAGACAGATCGAAACTGTACGTCATACAACTCAAGTATAATTATAATGAAAATGCAGAATTTAATGCCGTTAATATTAGAAAATGCCACAGTTTTGAAAAAATGTAGACAAACCTTTATTACATCCTAAAAAGAGAACAGTGATAAAGGAAAAGGAAAGAGATGTTCATTCTTCCTAATAAATATAATTATTATAGAAATTTAAGAATAAATCGATATGACGGGATTTCAGATGTATGTAATAATTATTATTTATGTTGATGATGGTTGAATTTAATTACACTAACAATAATAATTGTAATAATAAATATTGTAATAATAAATATTGTAATAATAATAATTGTAATAATAAACTAACAATAATAAACTAACAATAATAATTGTAACAATAATAAATATTGTAATAATAAATATTATTATCATTAATTTTTTCTAAAAATGAATTTTTTCTAATGAAAACTTTTTTTGAAGATTCAATTTGATAATATTATTTTCTTCGTATTTTCACTTGCTAAATCGACTAATTACGTGAGAATTATACTGATAATAGTTACTTCAAAAATATGCCATCTTATGCATTTTACATGTCGTTAAATGAAATCTGGACTTGTAATAACACATTCTACAATATTTAATTGGATTTATATTTTAAAGGGAATTTTAAAAAACAATGCATGCTAGTTTGTTACGTTTTTTCACTTTTTGTTTTGTCGAGTTGGCGTGAGAGCGGCTCATATATCAATGTGTATGTAACAACTTTCGGTCAATAAATATTCTTATATTTAAAAATATATTGGAAACAACCAATTAGAATTCCTGCATCCCTTTTGAGTGACTACTTCCCTACTTCTACTACATTATACAAATGAAAAACTGGTAATAAGAGCCAAATGGCACGGTGCGACATGGAAAACCTTCCGTCTAATTTTATTCAGAAATATAAATTACCTAAGAAGGAACAACGCAGTGATTCGTTATATATCAAGCCAAAATTATTACGCGTTGTTTCTTTCATTTTCGTGTAAATAAATTAATTACGCGTGGATTTTCGCTATAGATTCTCGCACTTTTTTTTGCACAACAAAATGCATCTGTCTTATTTAATGATATAATATGCAAAGTCCATGGTATCAATCTAATATGCATAACTTGGCTTGCATAATCGCGTGCACGTGTTTTAATTTCTTATGTAATTGCGCGAATTGCTTCGAAGATCATTCAGAGTGGAACGATGTTAATCTGAATATAATTACAATGTTATATGATATAGCAGTACAACACGACAACATATAATGTGTTTGTGCTATTTCGTTGAATGATCAAAATCAACGACGAATTGGCACAGAATTCTACAACACATTGAATTTAATTCACCTTCGACTGGAACGTAGCAGCGAGTCTACTTTCACATGATCTACGCTTTCAGACTTTTCATCTTGCGTAATATATTCGAGGCACACGTGCAACTATGTACACCTGCCGATATACGTTCTAACGAATTTCCAATCGAATCGATCACCGGAAGAAGCGATTCCTTGGAGTGCATCTAGGGTCAGACAGAATACCCGGAGTTCAAGAGCTTCCGTCGCAGTGAAATATTCAGAACTCAGAATCTCTCTCACCTCCATTAATTTGCAAGTGCAATTTACGTTGCATAATTGCTGCAAACCGGTTCGTTTAGAAATCGCTTCTTGAAAAAAAAATTATGATAAATAGACTTTCATAATTAAAAACTATTTACACAACTATATTTACATAGTCTGAAAAACAACGATATTGCTAATATGTTAATATAAATTTTATACTTATGAAAATTGTGTGTCAAGCATTGTTTCGCTTTAAGCATTTTCTTTCGGTACTGATATTACGTTAGAAATTATTAAACGATAATGGAAATATTTAATTTCTGGGTATTATATTATATTATTTTTGAACTTGCCTTGAGTTGCCTTTGCTTCAGATTTGTAGGACTGAGGAGAAATGCATTTTTGAAATAGGTAAATAGAAATAAATATTTTTATTTTCTCGAATGATACGAAGTTTAATAAATAATACATTTCTCCGAAATAATATTTACTTAAAGAAATATTTCAAATATATTTAAATATATATTTAATATACATAATAAATATATATTTTAATATCAACTCATACAAATATTATTGTGAAATAAGTATTTCATTGAAATATAAGATAATAGCCCAAACAGTAATAGATAATAGTTCAAATAATAATATTTCAAATAATAGTGTCACAAGTAAATAAGTTCGAGATTTTATATTTACAATAAATTTTTATCGAAACATAAGACTTTTATTTTATTTAATTTATAAATAACTGAAAATTTTGTATATATATATTATTAACTTATTTTATTTGCTTCAAATAGAACACATTTTTCACACATATTATCTTCTAAACAATCTTTTATTCGGAAATCAGTTTACAAAAAATATTTGTCTTCGTGATCTTAAGAAAATATTGAACGATATTTGGAGGATCTGTTTAATCTCGAAACTTTTATTTTTCTATATTGTATTAATTATAACAGTATTTATCATGATTTAAGTATTAAATGATACACCATTTTCAAATAGAATTCACATCAAAAGTATCAAATGAAATAATATTTCCAAATAATATTTGCTCGTGGAAATATTTCAATTTCAGCCCTGTAAATTTGTTTGAATCGTTAATTGCGAACAGTTTCACGAGTTTTATGAAAGGCCTTGATCTCAAATGAAAATTAAAAGATCGAAACGAGCTGAATAATCTCGAGGTACCATGCTTTTATTTAAACGGCATTTCGTTTTCGTTCTGAGATCACGAGATTGTAACTTGCCTTGGAAACTTGCACGCATAACTTGTTGTATTATAGTTAATATACATCGCGTGCAAGGACGCGATGAGGTGCGAATTTTCTATTTATAGTTGGAACAGGTTAACACTGACGTAATTCGCAGTTAGGGGAAAGTTACAAGAACAGAAGTTAATGCACCCTCTGAAAGCATCTTACTGGTAGTTCGGTTCATCGAACAGCAAACCGAAGATAGCCGAACAATTCGAATGTTCTAAAGTTTTCGAATTAAGATCAGACTTTTACTATTTTTAGCGGAAGTAGAACTAGACTCGGGCGAGCTTTCCCCGGTATTTACGTGATCACCGATCTTTCATTCGTTTTGCATAGTTTCTCGTTTTACCAAGAGCGACGGCTTCAAGTCGTTGGTATGCAGCGAAGGCGCCTCTTCTAGTAGAATCTATTAAAGTTCATCGTACCGAGCCAGGCCTCTTTTTGAAACTTGCGAAAAATTCCGTACGAGCGTGTAGGTATTCACTCGTTACGAGAATATCGGCGTTCTTTCGTATTTGTTACAATTTATGCAAAGTGATCCTTCTTGTTTGCACGACGAAGAATTCCAAGACAACGCATTAATCTCTTTCATCGATCCACCGGCCTCGAATGCATGTCAGTGGGTCGATCGCCAAACTTTCACTTTTCCCCGTTCTTTTCTTAATTGACATAACGTTATTTATTGAGTCTTCGCCCGATGCGAGCACGCAGCGACAAAATCGCAAAGAGATCAAACAAGTTTGAAAAACGATGGAAAAATTCTTCTTCATCAGGAAAAATCGACTAAAATATAATCGAAAGTTTAAAAGTTTTTTCGTCAAACGTTCGAGTTTCAGTTGGTTTAAGCAGAAATACTGTTGCGTTACATAATCTGTGATCCGGTGTTTTTGCAGAAACCGTTCTAGCATTATCACGGATATGGTGAATTATGAATCTGAATTGTGCAAGCATCTACTACATACCTTTTTCCTTTTTTCTTTTTTTTTTTTGTTTGGACAATCATTGATGCAATACATTCCCGTATCATACTTTGCTGTAACCGTGACACGGCTTACATAACGTTGCACGGAGCCTTGTTCAGTCGAAGTGATCATTCCTTTCCTTCAATTTGTCGAAAGTAGGGCGGATGTAACAGCATATTTGAGAGAACTTTTTCCCAAGAAATCTGTTTTTTTTTTTTTTTTTTTTTCAGAAAATTTCCGGATTTTGCATGTTGCAACAGGCTGAATGAGTTTCTGCGTTCAAAAAACAGCTTGTAACGATGGTGATTTCGTTCATAAAAAAAGTGAGCTTTGCACAAACAAATATGCGCACGTGCGTCGTAATCGATCATTAAACGTGTAAAAACGACTTGACAATAAACCCGATAACGCGATATCGTCCGGCCGCAGCTAAGCAAATTTACAAACTCATGCAATTAAAAATACTATCTCCCATTCAACGACCTTAACGCTGCTTCTAAAGAGAAGAAAGTTAACGAGCTGTTAGATTACATATATGTGTTTAGCGTAGCCCCGGGCAAATTTCATATTTTTTTCGTAGAAATTCACTGGTGAAATTCATATCTTGCATAAATTTATCACAAGAGAATACTTAACGCAAGACAAAAAAATTAAATCTTGTCATATTAACGCGAGGCAAAAGTAAATCAAAAATAAGCGGAGGAAAGGAGAATGTTCTTTTCACTAACTTGCATCTTGCAACTTGAAAAATTTATGCGATGCGACGCGACGCGGGCAAACATCGTTTCTCGCTGTTTCAATATTCAGTATGAATAATCGCGTCACAAGTCGAAACATACAGAATAAGTAGGAGCTTGAAAGGCTAAAAGTCGTCGCGCCCGCTTCTTTTCCAATGCTGTTTAAAAGTAGGCACTTTCTTTTAATTAATATATACTCTCGTTTAATCCTTTTTTTTTTTTTTTTGCACAATTTTATATTTACGTGACGCGCATGTAATCAGACAACAAGGAAAAGTTTTCCTTATATAAGATATATTAAAGTGGATCGTAATGCTGGTGCAAGTTAATTGGCCGTACCGTGAATCCCAACACGTAATTAGGCGTATGAATGTAAGTATATGTTATTCATACTTATTTATCGAAGTGAATGTAACTATTGCACAAATTCCGGTCTTATAACTGCGGCAAAAAGAAAAACTATGTTTTCTATGTACTCTTAGCTCTTTTATGGAAATTCTATAATTTCTAATTACTATAATTGCTTGGGAACCGATTGGCAAGCATTGAACTTGTTTATATTTCGAGTTCGAAAATTTCATAATTTCTCTTTCACGAAAAAAGTCAAAAATCGCGGTTAAATAGCAAAAGATATGTCAAGTAAGCTTTTGCAAATGGAGCCAGGTGTAAAAAGTTGTTGCGATGGGATCAAATTGTATGTAAATTATACGCTGTAACACTTACGAATATAGTTATCTTGTTACGTCACCGTTGCTTCACACACGGAAACATATGAAAATTTTTTACGTAAGTAGAAACAGACATTTTTTTTTTCCGGCAACTCGTGTATCACACGCAAAAAGTGTCATGCACAGAATTTTTTAATCAAAGATTCTTGTCCTGCAGAATACCTCGCAGCATACCTCGTCGTTGACGAGATTACAGTGCCAAGTTTTCCCAAGTTCTTTGTTTCTTTTATCAGGTGTTAAAAGTTTCTTGCGAGCTTTGCGATTATTTTCTCATAACCCAACATGAAAAAGTTTTAATCTCTTTGCAATCTAGTTATTTCGAAGGAAGCAAATAAAGAAATAATCGACTCGAGAATGAAGAAATAATTGAAATCGCGTGGAGCGGATGGAGCTCGGTCAAAAATTGATTTATGGTTGATTTACAGAGGCCAGAACGAGAGAAAAAGTTTCTTGCATTACTTACGAAAGGATGTACGACTTGGGATCGCGCCAGGGATTGTAATTGCTGGAAGGCACAGGTTTCACCTCAACGATGTGAATCTTCGGGCCAGCCGATCGATACGTTGAGTTACCTTCTCGTTCGACCCGATCCGCGTTCGCTCTTAACATCGAGGTCAGAGATGCTTGGTTGCACGTAGCTGGCAGACAAAGACCCAAAAATACTTGTCGTGTCTGAAAACAAATTGGTTCCAATTCGGTCGGCGATGTGACTCGGCGACAGGGTGGTCAATTGAAGCGTGATAGAACAAGAGGAAACGATCGACGTGTTTTAATTAAATTTTCGACATTAGATTGCGACATAAATCAGAGTACAAAGATTCAATTTCAAGATTAATTAAACTTTTATTCATTTTCATTCCCTTCAGTTTACTTTGCGCTATAATTTTCAAACTGCCTCACCAAACACCCACCAGCTTTTAAAATTCAATTTCACTTAAGCTTCCCACCCTTTGGTACTTTCTTGTTCATTTGTCGGTCTACTCATTTCTGCGACAAGATCTTGCCACCTCGATATCGTCTGACAGAAAAGTCATGATACAATTTCAAACTTGTCCGACGTAAGCTGGATCTCCTGGCGCGATAATTTCTTCCCGTGTAGAAAACATCCGTTAATTTTCGAAGTTTCGTATCGGCTCACATATTAGGAAATTTTTAGGAAGGTCATACTAACGGATGTCGCGAAACATTAATTTTCGTCTGTTACAGAAAAATTCTCGAAAAAAATCTTCCCACGTCTTAGATTTCCCACGAGCTGCTGTTCGCCTCAACTTCACGCTTTTCGAATAAGTTATCAAGAATGTGCACGGCGTTTTTATCTTGGTTAGTTCCATTCGCGCGGCAGACGTGTCGCAATAACGAAGGAAAATAACTGCGAACCGCGGGGTTGTTTCCTTCTAATCGCGAAATATAAAGCCTTGCATAATCTGATTAAGCTAAATGATAAAACCTGGATTCCCCGTAGCTGTGAAATTCGTCCGGACATTACTCGCGAAACTTTCAAGCAGTTGGAGCACGATTAAAACGCTAATAGCGCTATTGTCGTAAGTTGCGTTTATTTTCCAATTTTCCGTCGAAATAATTCACTTCACTAATCTCGCCTTTTTTCGTTACGCAAGCAAAAAACGGTGAAATTAACGAATTACTTCGATTCGCAAATATCTAACAGAAGCTTTAGCAAAGGTTAAATATCCGTTTGATTAATTAGTCACTGACTAGTTCTGTTCGGAAGATAGATGATCCGCCGAGTGTTGCTTGGAATTGTGCGTTTAATTAATTTGACTAATGATTCATTCGCTATTACAGCTATCTTATCAACTTATGGAGGCGAAATAAAGGTGCGAGTTTCGCGTAACAGATCGAAAAAATCGATACCTTTTTTTATATATAAATAATACTTAAAAAATGAACTCTTGAAAGTTTTGTAATCAAATTCGCAGAAATAACCAACTTAAAGATCCTTTAATGAGACTTGTCAGAGGCTGGCAGTAAGTGAGTAATATAGTTACAACGTTTTACCTGTCCAAGATTCAAGTTGAAATCATTATTTATCTGTAAAGACTATAATGGTCTTCGACGATTAACAAATGCAGAGATCGATCTCGGTTTCGAGAGTTAATGAGATCAAACTCTCAGAAAATACAAATTTGAGCTGTACGTATCTTGAAACTTCAAACGCGTTTTTTTTGAAACTATTTTTCAAGCTGGTGTGCAGGTTAAAAAATGACTCAATGACTAATTGACTAATTGACTAATTGACTAATCAACTCCAAACAAAATTTATTTTACTTGTACATTTCTCTACGGATCATCTCTTCGATCTATTTTATTTTATTTTTTAATTTTATTTTTTATTTATAAAATTTATTTTTATTATTGTCTCAACTTATCTATCAAAAGCAATTAATTTTCAATCGCGATCGTACAATTAGTCTATTTTTTTATAATTTTTGTTAAAAAAAAGTATCCAATAATCCCAGACTATCTAATAAATTGTCTAACTTTAAGAAACATTTTTACTTCTCAAGTTCTGATAATTGTAATAACTGCTACATTACACACCAACAACAGTTACATCATCAAATGATAATAACAATACGGTATGACAATAAAAAAGCTTAAACAAAAACATTTTTCCTCTCCAATTATGAATGTACCTACGAAATATTATTCTTTCGTAATATTTATGAAATTTATAATTTTCTAGAAAAATCATTTAATTTTACACGAGAATATTCTCGAAGGATGCATTAATTAAATGAATTAGAAATACTTTCGTGCGAGGTAACAGTTCTCTACGAATTTAATAAATTAGAATTATTGACGGCAAAGTAAAAACAAACGAGAAACGATCGAGGAGGCAAAGATACTTACTGAAAATTCGAGTTCTTTTGGCAATGTCAAGTACATCCTCGCTACGTGGAATTTCAACGGATAGGGTGGTGTGTCATCGAGTTGTTGGCGAACTTCTCGACCGGTTGTATTCAACTCTTTGCAGAGGGTGCTCGAACCAAGCCAGAAGCCATTTCCAAAATGAAATTGCGATGAGTAACGACCACTCGCGTCCGACACTAGAAAAAGAAGAAGGATAATGACGAATTAAAGGCGATGAAGAACATCCTTATGAAAGAGAGAGGAAGATAAGCGTACGTTGCAAACACTATCATATTTCTTCGCGATAAACTACCGCTCCGCCTCGAAGAGGTTTGCGAGGATGGCCAGAGATAAGCTTTCGAACTCAAAAGAACAGTGGGGACGAAAAGATTGTCAGAGGGTTTTTTTTTTTTTTTTTTTTTTTTTTGTCACGAAAAGTTATGCTAGGTCTAGAAAAGATCCTTCTCGGTCTTCCTTGTTCTCTGTTGTCTGTGTTTGAGCAAGGCTTTTAGAATTCCAGCTTTCGAGGGTTGGATTACACGACCACGCCTGAAAGGTTCATTGTCAGTTACGTAAAGCCAGATCGTGACCACAGCAGTGGAGAAAGTGCATTCGACTGGCAACGCAAGAAAAAACGATCCACTGGCAGCAACGTGCATTTAAGTGAACGTAATTTCACGTGAATCTTGGATCACGACATTAAAGCCAAAGAATCGAATCAATAAGCTCAATTTTCGTGTGTAACATTTTTTAAATATTTAATATTTAACCATATTTAAGTGACTGTTAAAGAGTAACAAAAATTTCCACTATTTGACCAATATATAGACTTGGTGCATATGTATACGTATAGTTATTGCGGATTTTGTGTATTTTAAAATTTTTATTAGTAATTTTATCTACTGTGTATTATAATATACTTAGATATTTTACATATATTATGTATATTATTTATATAATATAAAATATATAATATACATAATACGTATGTGTGTGCGCGTTTATACACATTTTTGCAACTCCTAATTTTCTTTAAATGTGTAAAATTAATAATTACTATATTAACTTCACAGACTTTCTTAATTACATTTTGTTCACTGTTCCATACACGGTTAATGTTTTGTGTGAGAAAAGGAAGATTGGTAAGCAGCCACACTCTTTCGAAACATCGCGGCTAAATTGGTTCATCATACGAGCAAAGCAGTCTGCAAGATTATACCTGATGCAACAGCTTGTGCGCATCCAATACGAATTCAAAAGAGTAATTTCTGTAAAACGAATGCTCCCAGTCATTTCTCGAGGTTACTGACATTGTATATTCTTGCTTTACGTATAAAACACGTGGCCCATAATTTCTGGACAATATTCAACCGTTCCCCGTATTTGCATGAATATGTTAAAATCCAATTTTCAACTGAAGCGTTCAAATATACAATATGTGCACACGCTTTTCATAAAATTTGTTGGTTTCGCGAATTCTCTGATACGAATAACGAACTTGTTAAGTTTTTATATCAGTATTTGTCAAATACAAAGCGTAAAAGTTATACGCGTAATCTCTCTTCCATATGTTCGTTTGTACAAAAATTCGATAATTTATGCGTTTGAAGTGTCAGTATAGATGGAGTATTCAAGATATTAGGATCGAAATATTCTGTCATCGGACTTTATTTCTTTATAACTTTGCGACTTTTCGCACGCAGGTAGATAGTTAAAATTTATAAATTATAAAATGGTCGTATAATATTATTAGATAAATTAACAGTTCAGTAAATTACTTTACAATAAAAGCAATCTCAGATGTGTTATTTTGTAGGAAAGTTTGACAGAAGAATTTTCAATAGACGCAGTTTTCACATTCATTCTTAGATAGATTAATTTGTTTCAATCTTTACAAAATTGTTTGATGAAATACTTAATTATGGAAGAACAATGACAAAATAAATGAATTCTTATGAATATTAATGGAAATCTATTCTTGTTGATTGTAAAATTTTTGTAAAATTGTTGATTCTTAAAAAAAGAAGAAAAATAGATTTTTTGATCAGTCTAATTAATAAGTAAAAAGATTAGGACGACTAAAAAATTGAGTTGGACTAGTTATCTTGTATTTTTATATTTTTATCGACTGCATATATTGCAATGCAACTTTGTAGTCGACGAATTGTGTCAAAGAGCATTTATGTCGCATCAAAAAGTGAATGTACCCGCACTAGAGCGAGAAAGATAACGTCGTATGCAGTTTGTCGACGATCGAATCG